TGCTTTTTGCCCTGAGATTTATAAATTTCACGAAGTTCCATCTGGATATTGCCCTGTTTTTACTCACCTGAAAATAGGTAAAACATTTTGGTTAACAAAAAGATTCTTCAGGTGAAAAGCATGTTATTTTATTTTAGCTTTGATGGTTAATTCTGTTCTATTCGCTACATTGAAACACATGCTCACACCCATACACAGAGTTGATTTTATCAATCTTTTATGGTATCTGGATTTTGAATTTTTCTTCCCTCCAAGATTATGTTCCAAATAGAACATTTACATGGTTTCAATGTTACCTTTAGATCACTGATCATTTGGGGTTTCTTCTTATGTGAAGTATAAATCCAATTTTACTTTCTCATCAATGAATCTAGGTGTCTTAACACAATTTATGAGAAAGTTCAAGATTTTCCCAATGATTTGAGATGCATCCTTTATCACATACAAATGTTCCATATAGTTGAATCTATTTCTGGACTTTCTACTCTGTTCCACTGGTCTGTCTGCTCAAGGAACATTTCCACATTGCTTTAACTGCAGAAGCTTGATGGAATATTATAATATTTCATAGGGTGAAGACCCCTTTACTTTCTTTTCAGAGTTTCCTTGGCTATTATGCCATATTTTTTAAGAATCTATATACATTTTAGAATCAAATGTCTAGCCCAAGGGAAAAATAAACCAAACTCATTGGTATTTTTATTTTGATTGTATTCAGTTTGTATGTTGATTCGGAAGAATGGGCAGGTTTATAATGTTGTACTGTTGTATCCCTGAACAAGGAGTATCTTCCTTATTATTCAAATCTATTAAGTGTTTTTCTGCAGTGTCTTATACTCTTCCTCACTTTCGTTTTAGCCCATTTCTTATAATGTTTAAGTATTTTTCTTTTCTTTCTTTTTTTTTTTTCCCTTTGGAAGTGGGGTCTGCTTCTTCATTGTCTTCTAATTTGTAGGGTCATCAAAGTGCCCTGTGATAAGAAATATTCTTTTCTTCCGATAACATAGCCTTTTGCTACATTTCTTTCCTTCCCCCTCGGGCCTCCCTGTTGGCTCCCTCTTCCCCGGAAGACTAACACCTCCAGGCTGATGAATTTTAAGCTGCTTCTCCTTCTTCTAGATTTTATTTATTTATTAGAGAGAGAGCGAGAGAGAGCACAAGCAAGGGGAAGGCCAGAGGCATTTTAATCCCACATTAGCCAGGGCTTTGATCCCCAAGGTCTCAGACCTAGTCTCAACATCGGCCTACTCAAGAGAGGCCCTCCATGGGGCGCCTGGGTGGCTCAGATGGTTAAGCGTCTGCCTTTGGCTCAGGTCATGATCCCAGAGTCCTGGGATCGAGTCCCACATCAGGCTCCCTGCTCCTTGGGAGCCTGCTTCTCCCTCTGCCTCTCTCTCTCTCTCTCTCTCTGTCTCTCATGAATAAATAAATAAAATCTTAAAAAAAAAAAAAAAAGGAGAGAGAGGCCCTTCTTCTCCTGGAGGTGCCTTCTCATTCCACCACTATGATGGGGAAAGTTCAGGACATACTACCCCCAAATATGGCATACTGGCCTATTGCGTATTTTAAGCTGAGGGACTTTGAGAAACAGGCAGAAGCAGGAAGGTCACTCTGACCTCCACACCCCTCACCCCTCGTCTCTGAAACAGGTCACAGAGTCTTCACATGAGAGGTGCTCTCCGTGTACCTGGAGGGTACCCAAAGGAAAGGAACATCATTATCTCCCAAGACAAAAGGACACCCATTTACTACACTTAACTTCATTCTCCTTAACCTATCATATTCCTCCATGACCATCCAGTCTTCCTCAGACCTAAAATAAAAATACACAGCTCTGTTTCCTTGGCTTTTCATTTCTTTTGAAGGCTGCTCTGTGATTTCAAACTTATATCAAAGAAATGTGTACACTTTTCTCCTGTTAAGCTGCCTCTGTCAAATTAATTTTCCGATGCAGCCAGCACCCTAAGAGGGTGAGGAAATGTTTTCGTTCTCCACCACTGCCACACCACGCTGTGATCTTTCTCTGACATTTAACCCTTGCTGCAGCCTGGATGCTGAGCCTGGCTCGCTGTTCAGAATGCTTTTCCCAATTACATTTACAGTTTATATTATTCTTTGTCTCCTTGTTTTGTTGTAGATAAGGTTTATAGGTGACTCTTGAAATCCTCATTGTCCTGTGTGCTCTTTGAAGGATACGTGGAGAGATTCAGATTCAGATAGCTGCTATTTGGAATGTGTGTGTGTGTGTGTGCATGTGTGTGTTTAGGGTGGGGGGTATTGCCTTGTGCTTTTTAATTTAGAAAAGCATACCATAAATGATTGCTTTTGTTTATGATGGTGGTATAATTAAGTAACTACTATATCAACGTTGGGTAAGGAGAGACCAATAAACCTCAAATAATTTGCTCAACAACTAGGTTAGAAATTAGAGATTAGGGGTGCCTGGGTGGCTCAAACAGTTAAGCAGCTGCCTTCAGCTCAGGTCATGATCCACGGTCCTGAGATAAAGCCCCACATTGGGCTCCCTGTTCAGTGGGAACCCATTTCTCCCTCTCCCTCTGCCACTCCCCCTGCTTGTGCTCTCTCACTCGTGCTCGCTCTCTCTCAAATAAAATCTTAAAAATAGAAATTAGAGATTAATTTTCTACAACCCATTATTTTGTTTTTATTTCTTTCTAAGATTTTAGTGAGGGGGGAGGGGCAGAGGGAGAGGGAGAGAGTTTCTCAAGCAGACTCCATGTTGGATGGAGTTGATGCAGAGCTCAATCTCACAACCCTGAGATTGTGACCTGAGCCAAAATCAACAGCCAGATGTTTAACTGACTGAGTACCCAGGTGCCCCTATTTTGTTTTTCATTTAAAGTCTCACAATAAGCTCAGCCTTGTGAGAAATAAGAGTAGTTCCTGCCCCTGTTCACCCCTCCAAGAAACTTCTAGACTAATTGGCATTGAGCTTTGCATTACCCTTGAACACTAAGAGAATGAACACATAACCTATTCTAAAGTCTGAATATATTTGTCAGTTAAATAACTCATTTGAATAACTGCCATGGATATTAGGATGGTACATGAAATGATCATCAGTCTGTAACTCCAGCTGTGAAGTTCACAAAGAAACCCAAGTAATAGCTGTATGTATATGCAATAAGATAAAATATGCATTACACTCTTTTTCTTACATATTCAAAATTAAGACATTTTTCCTCAAAGTAAAGCACCAAGAACTTTCCTTTTTTTGGTCTGTCTATAAAGGAGTTAAGCCGGTGTTGAGAATCCTAAGATAGAGGAATCTTATTTTAAAAAGAACTCAACAAGCAATGTGCATAATAGCCAAACTATGGAAAGAGCCAAGATGTCCATCAACAGATGAATGGATAAAGAAGATGTGAGATATATATATATATATATATATATATATATATATATATATATATATATATATATATATATATAATGGAATATTATGCAGCCATCAAAAGGAATGAAATAATGCCATTTGCAACGACATGGATGGAACTGGAGGATATTATGCTGAGTGAAATAAGTCAATCAGAGAAAGACGTGTATCATATGATCTCACTGATATGAGATATTCTTAATCTTAGGAAACAAACCAAGCGTTGCTGGAGTGGTGGGGGGTGGGAGGGATGGGGTGGCTGGGTGATAGGCATTAGGGAGGGTATGTGCTATGGTGAGCACTGTGAATTGTGTAAGACTGTTGAATCACAGACCTGTACCTCTGGAACAATACATTATATGTTAAAAAAAAGAAGAAGAAGAAGAAGAAGATAGCAGGGAGGGAAAAATGAAGGGGGTGGAAGTCAAAGGGGGGATGAACCATGAGAGACTATAGACTCTGAGAAACAAACTGAGAGTTCTAGAGAGGAGGGGGGTTGGGGGGATGGGTTAGTCCTGTGATGGGTATTAAAGCAGGCACGTACTGAATGGAGCACTGGGTATTATACGCAAACAATGAATCATGGAACACTACATCAAAAACTAATGATATAATGTATGGTGATTAACGTAACATAATAAAATAAATAAATAAATAATTTTAAAAAATAAATAAAAACAGCTCAACAAAAATTCAGTTAGGTTTTGTTACAGGTTGCTTATGAATTTTTTAGATGCCAATTTATTAAAACAAATGAATCAATAAAGAAAGCCTACTTTAGCTTTGTCCAATCAAAAGTAAGCTTAAGGAAATGCTATGGGGCTATGTCAAATAAATTTCTATAAGGATGGAAGATTTTACAGATGGAAGCATCACTTTTTCTCAAAGTAATTACTACCTGTGGCCCTCTAATCATTATTTTCTTCAAACATGATCTTTCTTTATGACAAGTAAGTTTGAATTTGAATCATCATTAAGACATTATTACCCATACCACATATAATACATTAAACAAAATGACTCATGTGGTAAGCGCTGTGAATTGTGCAAGACTGTTGAATCTCAGATCTGTACCTCTGAAACAAATACTGCAATATATGTTAAGAAAAAAAAAAAGAAGAAGAAGAAGGTAGCGGGAGGGGAAGAATGAAGCGGGGGAAATCGGAGGGGTAGACGAACCATGAGAGACGATGGACTCTGAAAAACAAACTGAGGGTTCTAGAGGGGAGGGGGGTGGGAGGATGGGTTAGACTGGTGGTGGGTACTGAGGAGGGCACATTCTGCATGGAGCACTGGGTGTTATGCACAAACAATGAATCATGGAACACTTCATCTAAAACTAATGATGTATGGGGATTAACATAAGAATAAAAAAATTATAAATAAATAAATAAATAAATAAATAAATAAATAAATAAATAAAAGTTAAAAAAAAAAATCAATCAACTTAGATTCTGGGAATGTGCCAGAACAAGATCCTCCTGCGGGTTCTGAATTCTCTTAGTTAATGACATTGCATTATAAATTGGCCATTGTCTCTTCCTTTGTACATGTGGTTATCTGATCACTTGGTGCTCAGCTGGTGTTTGCATTTTGTACTTACACAGAGCTCAGGTGCTGAGATTACAAGCCATTCCCTCCGTGCTGCCTGCTGATTCAGGAGCTGGAGCCCATTCTGTCACTGCTGCTGTCCATGCTCACAGTTGTTCCCAACTGGAGGAAATCAAGAACCTCCAGTGTTGTAGGGTGCAGATGGTGGCTACACTTGTGGTGAGCATAACATATAAAGAAGTTGAATCAGTATGTTGTACAACTGAAGCCAATGTGACATTGTGTAACAACTACTCAAATAAAAGATTAATAAAAAAAATAATAAAACAAACAAACAAACAAAAACACCTCTGCCTTTCTTCCCAGGGCCATTTTCGCTTGGATCAATGTTTTCCACGCCTTCCTCTCTCCATGTCCCTCCTTCTGCCACCAGCATGCTGCCTTCTCTGCAATGGGCTCAGACTTTGGCTGAGATTAGAACAAATCACCTACCTGAAACCACATTCAGGGCAATAAGGTCTCCATGCCTTTTAATTTTTTCAAGTTCTTCCAATTCAAGGTCCCGTGTCTTTCTGAAAAAGAGAATATTCTAAGAACTCATTTGTCTCACCTATCATGACTGAATGTGGCATTCTCTCTGTAATATTTACTCTAGTATGCTCTCACTTTATATACCCACAGCTGCCAATTTTCATGTGTATCTTAATAGTTGGAATTGGAAATGCTTCCTTTAATGTAACTCACCGCTTCCCTCCAATTAACACTCACTTACCACTCTAGATGAGAAAGTGGTCTTTAATCTGCACAAACTGAGGGCAGATTCCTGCCCTCTGGGCCCCTCAGGGACATGGGCTCATTCACTCCTTGGAGAAAAATAAATACATTTCTATGTGTTATGTTCCAAACTTCTTTCAGCTGCTTTATTTATAGGTCAGTTTAGTGAACTCCTTAAATCACTGAGGCTAGGCATTTTGATTCATCTATTTTGACATACCTGAAAATGAAAGAAAGAATTGTTGAATTTCATCCAAGATTTTGTCTCAGAAATACTGTGTCCAGTAACTACAAAATTCATATGTGGGCTAATAGCTCAATTGTCAAAGATATTTATTTTGTGCAATAATTAAGATCAATTCATGGATTTACAAGAACATAGAATTGGGTTCAGCAAGAGAGAGAACTTTGTAACAACCAGTGCTCTGGAACATAAAGTAAGTTGGTTGGGGATTAATGAGCCCTGTGGACCTGGGGCCTCAGGAGAGGTCACCTGGACCCTGGAAACCAAAAGATTCAAGCATAGCCTGAAGAATGTTAAACAAGATTGACTTTTGGTTGCTTCCTATTCTGACATCTAAGACTAAGACAACCAACCATACAACAAGTTATATAACATTCCAGACAAACAAAACAAAAATACCACTTCCAGGACTATCCTCAGATGACTCATGTTGGGGAATCTGAAGTCTTGCAAAAATATTTTCTTATGACACACTTGTGGCCTTAGGGTTATTATTCTTGCTGTTGCCTCATCCCTCTGTCTGTCTTGATACAGTCTTCCTCACCATTTGAACCAATGAGCAAGAAGAGCATAAACGTCTTCCTCATTTCTTTCTCTGACACTGACTCAGATGGAATGGAGAGCTGATGGAGGTGACAGCAGATTTATGATATACATAGTTTTATGATGTGTTCACAAATGACTTGATGATAAGATAGAAAGAAGAGAAGTGGATGTTGCCTTCCTTCTTTTTCCCATTATCACTAGTGCTATATTTTTAAGACATTTTACACCTCTATGAAAGTCTACAGGATTTAAACAACAGCATAAAGGAGCAGTTTCTACCCACCTTCTAGTTCTGACATGCTATGATGTTGTGATTTTAAGGGTTCTCATGATTTTGTGGACAATAGATCCATCACTACATTTGTTTTCATCTCTGTTGGTCTGCTCCCCCACAACACAGTCAGATGGGATACTGGGCTGGATGGATTGTTGTCCTCTTTTAATGTGGTACACCTAAGTTTTTTTGCCCCCAAACTATTTCAGTGACTTTCTGGCTGGCCTTCTTCCTCTATAAAGGACAGGCAGATAAAGAAATTAATATGTTAGCATTCCCTTCCTCTTTCCTAAGACACAAATTAGCAATGAGTAGATGCCGGATTATTTTGGAGACTTTGCTTTTTCTTTCTTAGAATCTGGTGAAGGCTCTCAGGTAAAGGGAAAGATTTAGAACTTCTGGTTTCAGCTCTGACACATAACAAGCTTGGAAATCATTCTATCTTTACAAGAAGAAGCTGAACTCTTTCTTGGAAAATCAATGACATTTCTTGGACTCATGAGGGAATTGAAGTTGCAAGGCAAACTGTCAACCCCAAATCTGGAGAGACAAAGGCTAGGTCTGCTGACTTGGAGCAAAAGCCACTGGAGCCAAACACTGGTAGAAACACTCAAATGGTAACTTTGACGAATTGCTCAGAGCTGAGCGTGGATTCACATGAGTGAGAAGCCATTGAGAGCCACAGTCTTGGGTGGGGGTGGGGGGACATTCTTTCATGGACTTTACCTTCAGGAAACTCACAGGTTCTCAAGATGAAGATGTGAGAGATCCACTCATGGCTCTGGGAGGAAGGGAAGAGTAATCTTTGTGAAATATGTCCATAACAAAAGCCTTTGCCCCATCAGAAAAGACTTGACTAGAGCGATATCCAAGCTAGGGAAAAGACATTTCTCCCATAACAGTAGACTCTGAACTTCCTGTGTACTTCATTATATGATAAAAACAAAGCATAATCAACATGGATCACGGTTCCAAGGGAAAAGATTGGGAATGCTGCACTCAAAAAAGAGTAGGGGCAGGGGGAAAATACCAATAGAGGAAATGCTTGTGACAGTCACAGCTCCGTGACACAGACCCATTAAGAGAATGAGATTGGTTCATGAGATTGTAGAATGCTTCTCCTCCTCTATACATTATCACCACATCAAAGGACTCCAGTATGATAACAGTGGAGTCCATCTCAGAGAGCTGACCTGCCCTCTCCCTGAGGAATAGTACTTAGGGAGGCCAGAGTCAAAAGCAGAGAAAAAAACGGGGGCGCTGGAAGAATTGGAGGCCTCCGGCACCTAGAACACTGTAAATGCTAAATAGCGAAACTCCCAGCCAGATGACCATAGATTTTCATACTAAATGTCTGTTGACCGTAGTTCTTATTACCTCATACAACACGTGTGACTTTCAGCAAAAAGATTACAAGACATGACAAAAGACAAAAACAACAACAACAACAACAACAAAAAAAAAACAGTCTGAAGAGAAAAAAACAATCCTCAGAACTAGACTCAGAAATTATACATATGTTGGAATTATTAGACAGGGAACTTAAAATAAGTGTTTAATATGTTAAAGATCCTAATGGAGAAAGTAGATAGTATACAAGAACAGATGGGTAATATAGGCAGAGAGACAGAAGCTCTAAGAAAGAATCAGAAGGAAATGCTAGAAATCAAAAACACTAACAAAAATGAAGAATGCCTCTGATGGGCTCATTAGTAGACAGGGCACAGCCAAGGAAAGGGTCACTGAGCTTGAAGATAGGTCAATAACAACTCTCCAAACCAAAATGCAAAGACAAAAAGAGTGGAAAAACATAACAGAGCCTTCAAGAACTGTGGGACAATTTCAAAAAGCATAACATATATGTAATGAGAATATTGGAAGGAGAAGAGAAGATGGTGGGGAAAGAATATTTGAAGTAACAATGACCAAGAACTTTCCAAACATAATGAAAAGTACCGAATTACAGAGCCAGGAAGCTCAGAGAACACAGAGCAGAATAAGTAACAAACAGACATAGCTAGGCATATCATACTCAACCTGCAGCAAACCAAAGAAAATCTTGAAAGTAAGAGCCCTGGGTTTTGATAGAAATGGGTACTATCTGAGCTGTCCTGCTTCTTAGCCAAGAAATACTGGACTTCACCTCTTTTAAACATTGGTGGTATTCTTTTATAACAGATGAAAGGATGCATGTAAAAAAGCTTCATTACAGATGTTACTTTCTTCCTTATATAAATGAAAAATCAATGAGGTCATGTACATATGAAGAAGCACTCTTTAATTGAGGCATTCTGTGAATATGAAGAGTTACAATTATTAATCAAATGCATCCTCATGACTCTTCCAGGGACCTTGAAACAAGCTTTCTCAGCAAGGAGAATCTTGAAGTATGTTTTGAATCACAAGACATTACCTTAATGGATGGAAAATTAGATATTGTTTTTGGCTTAAATGGGAATGGAGCTGAAGTTCCCAAGGCAAAAGGTGAGATAAGGGTGAGATGTAAGCTCATGAGATAAATGGTTAGGGTTGGAGCAAACCAACTGAGGTGTTTTATCAGAAGGAAATGCAGATATATTTCAATGTACAGTTGACCTTTGAACTATGCAGACGTCGGGGGCAGCAGTACCGTGTGCAGTTGAAAATCTGGATATGACTTTAAATATCCCAAATATTAATTACTAATAGTCTACTATTGACTAGACACCTTACTGATAACATAATTTTCTAATTAACATCTATTTTGTATGTTGTGTGTATTATACGCTGTATTCTTACCAAATTCCCAAGGAGGTATCTGAATCCAGGAATAATGCATTTTAATTCTTTCAAACTTATTAGAGCAAAAATATATCAGCAGCAAAAAAAATTAGAGAAATGGGTTCTAGTGATTAAGAGAGGAATTAAAATAAATACATTTGTATTAAGCACTAGAGTTTACAAAACACTGCATTTTATCATTTGGGTTTCATAACCAAGGACATTTAGACTCCAATAAATTAAGAGATTTTCCCACTTTGCTTGACATCAATTATGGTTGAATAATTATTCTCCTTGCCACTCTCTTTTTAACTCTGAACCAAATAGCTCATGAAAATGTTTTCCAGTAAGGGTAGAAGGTAGTGGTGATAAACAGAGAAAATTTCCTTATAGATATATATTTTTTTCAATTTCAAGATAATATCCAAAGAATGAATGAATTACTTATATAACAGTTCATTTACAAAATGCTTTTGTACAGTGATCTCATTTTACCTTTGTTCTCCTACCCATAAGGCAGCAGAAATTGTGCCGATTCTGCTGTAGATTAGGAGTCCAGGCGCAGCCCTGAGAAACACATGCACACACCCCACAGTTGACATTCTCTGAAAGCCAGGGCTGGGATTCAGAGAATCTGAGTTCTGACTTCCAACCTGCCATAGTCAGTTCAGGCTGCTATAACAGAGTACCATACACTGAATGTCTTATCAACAGCAGACATTTATTGCTCGCAGCTCTGGAGGCTGGAAGCCTAAGTTCAGAGTGCCAGCATGGTCAAGGGCTCTTCCCGTTGTGTCCTCACAGTGTGGAAGAAGGGCATGGGCACTCTCTGAGGTCCCTCTGTAAGGGCAGATTTATAGGATCCCATCCATGAGGGCTCCACCCTCATCACTTCATCACCTCCCATTATTATGAGGTTTGGATTTCAACATATGCATTTTGGGAGGACACAGACATCCAGTCCTTACACAACCCCACGCAGGTTTTTATGTTGCTTTACTTGTATTTTTCCTTGTGATTAGAACACTCCTCATTTTACCTTCACAACAGAAAAGTGATAGTTTTACCTTCAGTCATTCTAACATGTAATTTCATCTGCTTATTGGATATCACTAATCAAATCTATGTCTTCGCTAACTCATTTAAGATGGGAATCCCTTTAATTTTCCTTGCCAGCATGCTTGTAAAATCTGCTTTAAAAAAAAAATGTGTTCAGTAATCTTTAATGGATAATTTGCTTGAAGTTAAATTATCCCTGGCTATTTTAAACATATTTACTAGACGGTCATTTCTTGTCGCTCACCTTGCAAATCTAAATGCAGGGAATCCACTTCCATCTACTCTGTAATCAGTTCTATGGCTCAAATCTCAGTTCTTGCAAT